GTCAGCTACCTTTACCATGTTGCATGTGGACTTCAGCTTTAAAATAAGTTACAAAAAGTTAAAAAGTTACTGACTCAGGGAAACTGATATAACCAAGCTGACAAATGCATGTGTGTGAAAATGTCAGGGAAGTAGAACTTGTGACAAAGATGGACAGTCACACATGAATGCATTTGCTTTACAGCATTTTTCCAATGTTTCCTATTGGAAGCAAGTCATCACAATAAGGATGCCTGTGAGGAAGCATAGAAATTGTATACCACATATTTGAGGCATACAGCAGACCAGAACCATCCCTGACACACCCTCCTTTGTCCAGGGATAAAAAGGAAATCGGAGTTTCGTGTTCCTCAGCTGCATGGTTATAAGCATCAATGTCAGTAGCTTACCTCTTCTTTTTCTTCTTCTTCTTTTTCTTCAGTTTCTCCAGGTCTTTCTTTGCGATTTCAATGATTTCTGTGGCGTCTTTTTCGGGTGCAAGGTGGCCGGGGGTAATGGAGGTCGGACCGTAAAATGAGGAGCGCGTGGAGGCACGGGACAGGTTCTTCCGCAGGGTTTCATTTACAGCCTCACTCTCCAGTAGCTTTGCCCTGAAGACCACATAACACACATAAACATTATTACACATATAGAGAAGTTATAAGAACTTCTGAGATATGGGTGTGCGGTGTTTGCATGCATTACCTGAGCTCCTCGATCTCTTTGATGTAATTCTGGATCATGTTTCTGATCTCTTCATTCCCTTCACCTGCAAAAAGTCAAAGAAAAATTTGTTGGGCATGTAAAAACAGAGCAAAAAATTTATTTTAGAGTCGAAGGAAATTATCCCTCTTCTGTTTAGGAGATCTTAATCTATCTAGATGCGTGACAATTAATCCATTTAGGTGCGTCACGATTTTGTCCGTTTTTTTTTTTCTTTTTAAATAAAAGACCAGTAAAAGAAAACGTTTAACCTTCATTAAAAAGATGTTTATCAACTTCAGGAGGTCAAACAAAATATTACATGGATATTAATGAGTTGTATTTTCTGAGTATTCAACCCTGTTACTAAAACATCTTGCAACGATTTACAAAACAAAAATTAAAATAATGTATTTTGACAACATGAAATGAACAAAAAAAACACATTGGGCAACAGGGTTGCTATATGCTGAATTACAGTTATTGATACACTTATATTTCCCATCAATAAAAATATACATATATTTGATCATTTTTCTTTTTAATTAATTAATTCATCCATTCATTCAACAATTAGCACAATATCAATTCAAAAGTTTAATTTAAAAATATAGCATTATTGTTTCATTTTAACTTCTCTTGCTATGTATAAGCATTATTATTACTTAAAGGGGTCATATGACGTTGCTAAAAAATAACATTATTTTG